AAATACAGGTTTTAAAATATTCTTCTTAATCTAGAAACACGATCATTAATATCAGACGTTGTCGCTCTTTTTCGAATACGCCCTGGTTCCCGCCTGGTTCCTGTATAAAAGCAACATCATGATTGTATGTTGTACTCAGGGGCCCCCCTGGTTGTACTGAATTAAATCAAAAGCTGATGAAATCAAATAGTCCCGCTGACACGCTGATACACCAAGGAAATGTTTGGCGGCCGTGCACCCTACCGTGTTACACTAACTGTTGTCCCTATATGTTTCAGGGCAGAAAAACGCAATTTTAGACCTAGCTTAGTTTCAAAAGCTGCACTCGTTGAGTACTCTCTGCTACATTTTACTCGATTATGCAATTTCTGTATATGGGCTTGTCAGTGGTAACTGAAGGCCTGTTTAAATAGTGATCCAGCCCGGTTAGCCGGGCCATATCGGCTTCTAGGGACTGTGCAATAATTACCTGGAGGGGGGATTGGGAAATGGGTGAAAAATGCCCCAAAACTAAGTCATACCCCCCTCTCATTAAGCAAAAATTAATTTCAAACCCCCCTTCACATAACGATAATATTAAGGCCAACCCCCCCCCCCCCTCCCCCCCTTGAAAGAAGTCTCCTCCCATTGATTCCCTCATACCTAGTTTGCCAGTCAGGAATTCCTGTCTGATTGAGCTCTTTTTAAGCTTAATTTAATCATACTGTGTTTTATTTACCATACTTTAAATTTGTTTGGCTATTAAAATCAGTAGACCTGCACGTTCTAAACCTCTTATTTCCCTGGTCCCCTTTAATCTGCACCTCCATTGTTTTCAGGGATGGGGGCATTGTTATGTGACAGTCCCTATTGTTTTCCCAGCTAATCAATAACAATCTTTCAAATAGGTGCGGGATCGCTCATTAAAATTTCAACAGTTGGGTTTTCATTCTGCTAAATTATGATGCCATGTGTGCTAACATTGGCATCTTTCTTTTCCATTGAATAACATGATAGTGCTACTTTTGCAACTTTCAATTAAAGTTTACTGTTTTATTAAATCCTAGTGCAAATAAAGTAGCACTGTTTTAACATATATAACAGAGGCATTCCTTTCCTACTGCATGACAGATAGGAAAACAGCTGTTCATAGATCAGAACACCTTAGAGTTGATAAATTTGTCAGTTTTATTCCAATGTTAGTATTTATATTTGAACTCTAACAACTCGTCCACTACTTTTATAGTTTGCAAAAAGGAATGAAAAAGTAATGCCTCCCCCTGTATGTATAAAATTATACCTCCAGCCCCCCCCTCTCTTGTTGTCATTTTCTCCTATGCCCCCCCCCTATTTTTCCCCCCCCCCCCCCCCTCCAGGTAATTATTGCAGTCCCTTACCTTGTTTTCTCTTAAAATTGTCATTGTATGTGTTTTGGAGGGCCACTGGTTTATCAGCTTCTGTATGCTGTTATATGTCTCTGTTTTTAAAATAAAGTTGATTGTTTGATTGATATGAGACGACGGGCTGAAACCAACAGGCATCAGTCATAGCTATTGGCTCATAGATTAACATAATTGTTCTTTTGGTCTTTTCAGAGTTATTGGCGCGCTGTCCAACTTCAAAAAGTTTGCGGAGGCTTTCAACTGCCCGTCTGGAAGCAGCATGAACCCAGTGAAGAAGTGCTCTGTATGGTGATGATTGATTTCGTTTTCATCTACAGTTAAACAGTTAAACCTCTTTAATACGAACATCAAAGGAACAAACAGAACTAGTGATACACATTACAAAGGTGTCCTTTATGTTTTGGTATACTTGGGCCTACAGAACTGTCCGTAATACTGAGATGTCCGTATCATGGAGGTGTTCCGTGTTGTTAATTATAGTAGAGGTAGAGAATGCGCAAAGTATTGTATCCTTGAGCCCATAGTACTTAACAGTGAGGTGTCCATATCATGGAGGTGTTCGTTATTACAGTAGAGGTAGTCAGGTAGAGAATGTATATAAAGTTTTGAATACTTCAGACTGCAGAACTGTCCGTAATACTGAGGTGTCCATCCGTATTGTGGAGTTGTTCTCAATTGCCTCCGGTTGAAAAATCACATTGACAGCTGGTGTAGTAGCCAAACAATAGACGAAACAGGTGAAAAAATAATATTTAAGCAGGTTCATTGAATTCACAGATTATTGGACGGGTAAGTACTAACTTCGTTTTGATTCGCTTGCTTCCGTCCATGTACATCGCAGTTTCTTTTCAAGGTGCTTTCACGATGTAAGCACGCCATGTAAACGCGGATTTTGATCAAACTTTGTATTATTTTTAACATGCATTTGCGTGCTATGCAGATGTACTCTCAAGTTTTAATTAAACAATATTGAATAACGCACGAGTACATTGTGCCACATACCAAAATAAACTTGTAAGATCAGATGGTTACGTTCTAGTATGCGCGAGTTCAAGATTAAAGATGTTTTAATAAACAGCACTTTGATACCTGTCGATGTGGTATTGACCAACCTTGTTCGGTCAAGATGGCCGAATATTGAAAAAATAGTTTGCGTTCAGTCCTTAAAATCAAGGAGAGTATTCAACTATCACAGTCCTAAGCGAACCCACTGGGTCAGTAAAGAATTTCTCTTGCGGGACCAACGCGGGAAATCCCGACGGGCAAGACGGGCTTATTGTGCCCGCTTGGTGACCCAATCGAAACAATCGATTCGCTTCAACTTGCGCATGTCCGTACGCGGAGCCGGTTATATAATAAAGGTACCTATCCTCACTGACGTTTGTGGGGAGGAGCGTTGCTTGATGACGCAGAAGTTGGTCTGATTTTATTTGGTTTCGATGAGACATTATCTCACCTACACTAATCATAAAGAACGCCTCAGGCGATCCAAGTACATTCTGCTGAACTCAACTGGCTCAAACACCTTACTTATCATGAGCCCAACTCAATAGGCCCTATGCAAAACTTGGTCACGTGCTTGGATATCATTTAGCAACAGCTCTCTGGATGACCAGTCATCCACGCGTTCATTCCGATCACAAAGCTTTTAGTCCGATCAAGCGAAGCATTCTTAGTTTAATTATTCTGTTAAAAAATTAACTGAAATGACTGGACTAGAAGACTTGAAAAACGTTTGAATTAACCGAGAAGGCTTTGCCTGATCGTACTCAAAGCTTTGTGACCTGAATGAACGCTTGGATAGCTTGCCATCCAGCGAGCCTTTTGCTAAGTGCTATGCAAACATGTGACAAGTGATCCACTTCCGCAAAGGGTTAAGAGTAAACGCCACGTGGTCTATTATGTTCTCACTTGCCATCGGGTAAATGTTTGCTTTCGTGCAGCTGTTGTGGTGAGCCTGACATTAAACGAAAATTGTGTTGTTTTAGTAAATTTACAGTTCCTCAGTCAGCGTCTGTACTGTCNCTTCCGCAAAGGGTTAAGAGTAAACGCCACGTGGTCTATTATGTTCTCACTTGCCATCGGGTAAATGTTTGCTTTCGTGCAGCTGTTGTGGTGAGCCTGACATTAAACGAAAATTGTGTTGTTTTAGTAAATTTACAGTTCCTCAGTCAGCGTCTGTACTGTCTTTGTGTTTAATTTTTTCCTTGGGTAAATGCTATCGTGATTTCTTGTCAAGGGGAGTTTTCCTAAAATGTGACGCAGGCTTACTTGAGGTAGGACTTCACGGCAACGGATCTTAATGGATAAAACTTTTGTATTGATTTAGTGTCTCAAATGCAAGTGTACTTATCACCTTAGTGAATAATGCATGAGGTTCTATATAAGCAAGTAAACTTGTAATGTAAAATTGTTATTTTCTAGTCTCGGGGGTCGGGTTGCAAAAAATATTTTAAGATTAAGGGAACTCGTAACTATTATTTCAAAACAATAGGTTATTGTTCCAGAACAAAAGTTAAGAGCTCTCTTATCTCAAGAAGGTTTTACGCAACCTGGCCCGGGAGAGCAAGAGATTCACAATGGTTCAAGGAATTTGAAGCGTTCGTTGTCGGTCCGTAGCACAAGCTCGTTTACTAAAGCCATAAGGAGCATTTTATTGATGCAAGCGCGTTCGCCTCCGATTTTAATTTCCTCACGAAAGTTTCAGTTTCCTTTCAAGTTCCACAATTTCCCGCACTTGAGAAATACGGAAAAATCAGGAACTTATAATCACAGGTGTAAAACATCAGATGTAACCAAATTTCAGTGCTCTTTTCTGTGCTGTTTTTAAGTGGTCTCAGATTCTGTATTATATCCCGCGCCCAAAATCGTCTACAAAGGCTTTTTTTTACCGTGTCTACACAATTCCTGTCAGTTTGAAATAAGTAGCCTAAAGAAACGCTCCATTGATTATTCAATCACAATGTGTCAACCCAAAAATAAACGATTGTGCGCTCTTAAGAACCCCCCAGCATAAACTGGAGCACTATAATCATTATTTTCATCTCTGATTTTCGCCAGCTCTCCACCAGTCTCCACTAGTAATTAGGCTTTAATTAAACACTCGAGGAATACCAAAAATCCCCTTCATTAAATTATTAAACTGCACTGCTCTTTTTAAAGTATTGCAGTATTTTCAGATTTTGTATTTGTATTACATCTCACCGCGCCCAAAGTCGTCTACAAAGGAGCATTTTATAATCATTTGACCGTGTCTACACAACTGTGAATAAATTTCTCTCAGTTTGAAGAATCTGGCAAATAGAAACGTCGCATTGATTTGTATTGTCACAATCAACGTGAAACCAAAATCTAGTACTTACGCTTTAATTACACTTTCGAAGGATACTAAAAATCGTCTTCATTGAATTATTAAATTGTACCGATACAAGTGGATCAATTGTAAGTGCGGCGGAAGTAACTGTCAATCAAATGTGACGTATTCATTATTAACAGTTGTTAAGTATAGTTTATATATTACCGCGCCGGAACGCTTGCTACATTTGAGTTCTGACCGTAGTTAGCTTAAGCTGTATCGGCACCATTAAACAAAGTACTGCATTCCTAACTCCACTGAAAATGGAAATAGCTGCAGACGATATTGCGCTATTGACTGACGAAGAGCGCAGGCTTAGTATAACCTACCGTCTCCGTCCGCACTGTGCAGGAAAGAGATGTCGAGTGATTGCCGGGGTTATTTTGATTGTGCTGCTTATCATTATTGGGATCGTTGTGTTTGGTGTTGTATTTGGCATCAAAAACAAGTCTGCGAAGTCCAACCCTGTGAAAGGTACTTATCTGTCACTGTAGATTGTATTGAAAGTTACAGATTCATTACTTGGGGCCTCGCCCATCCAATCACCTGCTTAAAGACGACAAAGCTAACGCGATCGTAAAGTAGTTTACGTTGTCAGTTTCTTACTGATTTGACCCACACTAATGCAGCTTGCATGCTTGAGCTTGTCTGCGTAATAAATCGAATGCCGGTGCTTTAACTTGCACATGCTAGTTCAGTTTACGTTAGTCAGTTAAGGAGGTGGCGTGCAGCGAAAAAATGCCGGCATGCCGGCATTTCTTTTGATTTACGGAGAAAAATACTCAGTAATAAGATGGGTACTCCGATAAGCGTGAGAAAGCAGTACCTAGTATAGTTTCATGAGGGCCGAAGCAATTCACGGTCGATGCATCTTTTTCTGAAATATTCATACTTATACCTGTTTACCAACAGTCCTTGAAAGCTCTTGAAGTTTCGGTTAGCGAAAAATTTTAATAGTAAAACTTTTTGTTATGTCTACCTAAGCCTGCGTAGCAAGCGTTTTCGATCGAGGTACAGTAATAGCCTGCGTATAAGAACCTGAATTTTTCAATTTAGCCTAAATAGGTTCTTATATAAATGGTACTTAAAGTAAATTTAGGCTACCGAGGTTCTTAAAATAGGTTCTTATATTTTCATATGAATTTCATCTGAATATACTATATATATTATAAATATCATCTCATAATACAGTATAAATCATTTATTAGTACCACAGAGCAATGCCTATTGGCAGTTCAATGCAGGTACAGGTCCTTAACAAAACATAACAAACAAAGTTTCTACCTACACACTTTTACAGCAACCCCACTTAAGAACCTAACTTAAAATTTTAGCCTAAATAGGTTCTTATGTGGAGGGGGCTTAAAATGAAAATTTTAGCCTAACAGGTTCTTAAAACCCAGGTTCTTATACGCGAGCTATTACTGTATTACTCGAAAGTTGGATCCATCCTTCCTCTTTCGCTTTCGTTCCAACTTTCTTGACGAACCCATGTGGAAACAATCGCTACGCCGCAGGCTGTCCACCAAAATCCCAACCAGGTCTTCGTGGTAGGTACTTCATATATGATTATTATTATGTACCTAAGCATACCTATTATTACTGTACTATATACAACACCATATACCCCTATACAACACCATACATCACCATACACCTCTATACATCACCATACACCCCCATACATCACCATACACCCCTACACATCACCATATACCCCTATACGTCACCGCACACCACCATACATAACCATACAGCCCTATACATCACCATACACTACTTCCATACATAACGATACAGCCCTATACATCACCATATACCCCTATACAACACCATACATTCCTATACATCACCACACATCCCTCTACATTCCCATACACCACTATACATCACCATACACCGCTATACATCACCATACACCGCTATACATCACCATGCACCCCTTTACAACACCATACACCCCTACACATCACCATACATCCCTATACATCACCAGACATTCCTATACATCACCATACATCCCTCTACATTCCCATACACTACTATACATCACCATACACCCGTATACATCACCATACACCCCTATACATCATCATACACCCCCATACATAACCATACACCCCTATACATCACCACACACCCCTATACATTACCATACTCCCCTATACATCACCATACTCCCCTATACATCACCATACACCCCTATACATCACCANTGTACTATATACAACACCATATACCCCTATACAACACCATACATCACCATACACCTCTATACATCACCATACACCCCCATACATCACCATACACCCCTACACATCACCATATACCCCTATACGTCACCGCACACCACCATACATAACCATACAGCCCTATACATCACCATACACTACTTCCATACATAACGATACAGCCCTATACATCACCATATACCCCTATACAACACCATACATTCCTATACATCACCACACATCCCTCTACATTCCCATACACCACTATACATCACCATACACCGCTATACATCACCATACACCGCTATACATCACCATGCACCCCTTTACAACACCATACACCCCTACACATCACCATACATCCCTATACATCACCAGACATTCCTATACATCACCATACATCCCTCTACATTCCCATACACTACTATACATCACCATACACCCGTATACATCACCATACACCCCTATACATCATCATACACCCCCATACATAACCATACACCCCTATACATCACCACACACCCCTATACATTACCATACTCCCCTATACATCACCATACTCCCCTATACATCACCATACACCCCTATACATCACCATACATCCCCATACATCACCATACATCACCATACACCCCCATACATCACCATACACTCCATACATACCCATACACCCCTATACATCACCATACACCTCTATACGCGAAGTTCTTGGAAGGATAAACGAAAACAGATCGAAATCCACCAATCACAAATCACGAACCACGGGCTTTCGTTTCCTAGGAAGTTCGCTAAAATGTAAAGGCAACAAAGCGAAGAAAGCGTCGCTTCTTCAGATTGTGATTTACGTCGCAGAAAAACACAAAATCCGAAGACGTTTTTGCCATCACAGGTCGAGTATTATCCAAAAAACAGCTGTAAAAGCATCGATAATTGAAATGCCACATGGATTATGTAGCCTCAGGATCTTATTTTGAATTAGTGTTATGAATGAGCAAACACCAAAGAATAGGCATAGATACCAGTGTTATTCAAAACCCATTCGTTTATCCTTCCAAGAATTTCGCGTATAGAGGTGTATGGTGATGTATAGGGGTGTATGGTTATGTATGGAGTGTATGGTGATGTATGGGGGTGTATGGTGATGTATGGGGATGTATGGTGATGTATAGCGGTGTATGGTGATGTATAGGGGTGTATGGTTATGTATGGGGGTGTATGGTGATGTATAGGGGTGTATGGTGATGTATAGGAGTATATGTTGTTGTATAGGAGTATATGGCGTTGTATAGGAGTATATGGTGTTGTATAGGGGTATATGGCGATGTATAGCGGTGTAAGGTGATATATAGGGATGTATGATGATATCTGTAGGTGTTTACAGTATAATAATAATAACATATAATAAGATATAATAAGTATGTTTAGGTACATAATAATAATCATATATGAAGTACCTACTGGCCAAAAGGACATGAAGGAAAAGCGGGCAGCCAGGTTATCGGCAGGTTTGTCCCACCTCCGTGAGCGATATTGGGCTAGTGTTGTTAGAGACTTATCCATCTCAAAAGTTTTAAGGCAAATTATTTAGAGCAGAAAGCTGGTTGATCTGTTCTTTTCTGTCTGCCCAATAAAATTGCAAATTGATTCGACATTCCTCAATCTGGATCGCGTAAAAAGAATTATATTCGAAGAGTTTCCGTTCGTGTAAAGACACGTTATTTAAGCCTGCACCTTCGAAATTCACCAGCGGCGCTCAACGAATTTTTTCCGTAAAATAACAGTTCAGAGGAGAAATTAGAAATTTCTAAACCTCGAGAAAGGCTAAAAGTTTGTGGATAACGGTTTCGTTCGTCTGTCAATATTCGGAATTTTTCTATCGGGTTACCTACGATTTTCGGAGGTTGTTGCCGTTGTTTTTTTTCGTTAAAAAAATGTCTCCTTGAAACAAGAAAACAGGAGGTTTGTTTTTACCTTAAACGATTTAGTTTCTTTCATTTTAGCCTCTCAGATGTATCCTCTGCCTCTCAAATGTATCCTCTACCTTTCTCCTCTGACTGAAAAGCACCTCATAAGCTGTGGAAATCTTAGCTGAAAATAAAACAAAAAAATTAAAATTCTATCTCATTAAATTACGCTGGTCTGCAGGATTTCTTTAGAACTACGTACGTATACAAGAAACAATTGTATTTCGTGTCGTTTTACTTAGCGGTAGCTGAACCTACACCAACCTCCAAAGTACAGAAAACGACTGGAAGGGAGCAGAAGCCATGGACCAAAACATCAAAGCCGTGGACATACCCAACCCTAGCGTCAACGAATACATCAAAGCCATGGACATACCCAACCCTAGCGTCAACGAATACACTAAAGCCATGGACATACCCAACCCTGGCCTCAACGAAAACATCACAGCCATGGATATACCCAACCCTTACCCCAACGAAAACATCAAAGCCATTGACATACCCAGCCCTTACCACAACGAAAACATCACAGCCATGGATATACCCAACCCTCGCCTCAACTCCAGCTGCTTCTGTCCTCTCAACGCAAACTCCGCCACCGATCATTTGTAACACTTCAGCGTGCAGGATCTCTCAAGGTTGGTGTTTAAAGTGCTTTAATTGTTACACTATTCAAAGATTTATCAGTACTACCGACTTGGGAGTCCTTACGCCGTCTGAACTGCATTGGCTTTGACTACGCTGTGTGATAGCGATCGACTCCCGGTTGATTGATTGGGATTGATTATAGTTTGGCAATTAAAATCTAGCAGATCGGATTAAGAACCTACAGCCTGCAATTTAGACACCCCTTTTTATATAAGAACCACTTGCTTTAATTCAGCCTAAACTGTATTTGGAAAAGATACTTATTAGCGTGATCTAGTTACCGTAATAATTATTATACAGCACTGAATCAGTATCCGTTGTGTTCTATTGTAAGCTTGTCACAGTCTCATATTTTTTGAAATATTGCTCATACAACAATCCAGAAATAAAATATTTTAAAAGCTATATTCACTATCTACAGCGGTCTCGCCAAAGCGACTCTACAACGCGCATACACCATGCATTCACTTTATCAACTTCGAGAGAAGACACATACTATGGGTTGTTCTTATGGCTTTGCATCATGCCTTACCGGCTCTGCGCTCCAATGCACCTCTTTCGGATAATTTGTTTTTTCTCTTCCCACCTCATCTCACCAAACTCCATATCGGGTCTATATCTTTTATCTGGAAGAGGCCGCTAGATTTTCCCATTCTTGTATAGAAGAATGGGCAGACACTTTAATTAGAATTCGCTTGTTTCAATTTTTTTAAATAAAACTGTTTACCAGTATCTCATGAATCAAATTTCTGAACTCTAGTAACGTTATATACCACACCCATGTTATAGGTAAATTTGAATGTCATGACCTGCCCCATGCACCACTATTTGGGAAAATAACAACCCGTTTAGTCTGCGTGGAAGGCGTTTGAAGGAGAAGGAAAAGGCCCAAACGCCTGCCATAAAGACTAAAAGCTACTTTGTCACTTGGTTTGAAACAAATAATATTAAATGATCGCGCTTACATTATAAAACCATGACATCGACTGTTTCACGATTTCAGAAATCTCCAGAGAGCTGAACACCACAGTGAATCCTTGTGAGGACTTTTTCTCTTACGCATGCGGAGAGTTTTTCAAAAAACATCAGCTCGGAGAAAATCAGAGTACGGAAGATGCCTTTTCGGTCCTCTTCCATGACAATATGAGAGTAATACGACATGTGCTGCAGAATGCTACTTCTGTTTACCCTCAGGTTCGAAATCAAGTTTCTTTTAGTTTGGAAATAATATATAACCTTCCATGATAATAAACATCATCATCATCATCATCATCATCATCATCATCATCGTAATCACAATCATAATTTGCATGTATTCTAACCAATTGATGCATGTTGTTGTTGTTTAACAGAGCTCATCAATAAGGAAAACCACTCAAATTTACAACTCGTGTGTTAATACAGCTGCTATTAACAACAGAGGAAATGCACCTTTATTAAGCTTGATAGAGAAGTACGGTGGTTGGACAGTAACCGGAAAAGGACTGAACTCCTGGACAGTGCAAGAAAAAATGGGACGTATCCAAAGAGACCTGAATGTACACTCTTTGCTGTTTGCTTCGGTTGGGACGGATGACGATGATTCCACACGTAACATTCTTACAGTAGGCAAAGCATTTATTGAGTCATTAAATATGCGCAAGTGCCTGTTAAGTAGGTAGATACCGGACAGAAATGCTATCAGTCCAGCAAAAAAAAAAAGTAAAAAAAAAAAAACGATAATAGTCATGGTAACAAATAAAGACTAGAAAAGTTAAAACTCTTCTGTTAGTCTTAAGGTCTCGTTGTTCCGTTTCGGGTCACTTGATCCAAGCGAAAATACGTCACCGAAATGAACTGACCGAGAAGGCCTGCGAAGACGCTGCACAGGGCTTAGACAAGAATCGAACAACACTTTGTTGCAAAACATTGTTTCGAAATGTTGCTGAAGAAATCCTTGAAAGAATAAGAAGACATGTATAATAACTGGCTCTTACGGGTTTCCAGGGTGGTTGGTACAATACAGATTATATATTTGATTCAAAATATTAGTCAGCATCCACGTGCTAGTTCTTTCTTGGTCTTTTGCATCTATTTACTAGATTGGAACCTCACACCTAGGAATCTGGATTTGGTTCTACTATGACCAAGACACAACAGATCCTGAAGTTTTAAAGGTTGGTATGGCAACTGGCGCCAATTACTCGGTAGCCTGTGCAGGTTCTCAGATAGTGAGGACGTCGCGAAAACAACGTCAGGCAGCCCCCCGCGAGTTTTTCGTTTCAGTTTTCACTCTCTCTGCAAGTAAGTATCTTAACAGCTGGAGCAGGCTAATTAATCGGCTCCTGAAGCAACTCATTTTTTACACCCATAAATCCACAATAAGGAGGTAAGAACCGAAACTTATAACTAACTTTATCAAGTTAGCCTACCTGATTATCTCAGTTTCTTTGAAATAAATAATGTGGATCTAACTTAGAGGCTGAAGATCATAATATTAAGACGGAATCCATCAGAAAATTGATAATTTTATTTTTCAGAGCAAAAAAACCTTGTACCAGAATAATTTAAACAATATTGCATTTTTTTTTACATTTTTAAGGGCTAAAGATGTAATTAGTCATCTGTAATAACACCAAAGAAAATTTCTTATGGGAGCCCGAGAAAATGAATGTCAAATAATTTCACAAGAACTGTGAAAACACAGGTAAAATTCTGAAAATTTCTTGTGTAAGATGTAATTTTCTCGGGCTCCCATAAGAAATTTTTCTTTGGTGTTATTACAGATAACTAAGTACATCTATAGCCCTTGAAAAATGTAAAAAAGACTGCAATATGCTTTAAATTATATATTCTGGTACAAGGTTTTTGTCCATTGAAAATCAAAATTACTCAATTTCCTGATGGATTCCATGTTAATATTTTCCACCTTCAATGCGTAAATTAACCTATAGTCCATGTGATCAACCTGCGCATGAAATCAGGCGGTCTCCATTTCAATTAACCGTTTCTCTCTTTCAAAAAAGTCGCTTCTAAATGCAACAGCCCGTGTTTTAAGACGATTTTTCCAATTTTCTAAGCAAACATCATCAACAACAAAAGAGGAAGCTATTGCAGCTAAGATAAACCTCTCCAGGTCATTCTCCAAGTCCAACCTTATTAATGATAACAATTCCCATTATTACTGATTCTCCTTTTATCTTCCATTTGCGTCACTTAAAGATTCAACAAGCATATAAAACGTACATGAGAACGATTGCACGTCTACTTGGAGGAGGATCAGATTCAGAGAAGAAGATGATGCGTATCTACAACTTTGAAAGGGACCTTGCAATTGTAAGTTATGGTTCAGGTAGAATATAAAACCAACTCCAAAAATGTTAAATTGAAAAGGGACAGTCTACACTAATAAACAAATTCTTGCTCCTGTAAATAACTAACTGTCGTAATCGTTCATAAGTAAGATACCTAAACGATCTCAAATGTGTGCAATTCCACAATTGGTTTCAACTCCCACGCAAAGGGGTCTTCCCAGCCAGTGTCTGTCAGGACTCAACAGGATGCATAAAAGAGCGCAGCTGAAATAAATCTCTTTCTACATCAGAAACCAGGTGAACGCGTCAAACATGGGAGCTTCAAACTCCTTCCTTGGAGTTATAGGCCTTATCACGGTTTTCAACGCCATCTTGACGAGTAGGTGAGCGCGTGAGAAATTACAGTGTTTGTTTGAGAATCTAATGTCGAATAATTTCCGTAAAACGGCTGTTCTGAAAAAAAAAAAATGAATTGTAAACTAAAGCTGCACAGCGAAGGATTGTTTACTAACAAGGTTTGGGGGCCGTTACTGTGCTCAAATTTCTCCAGACCCTTGCTTTAGATTTACCATATATTTGTCTGCAACTTTTCCAGGGAAATTTTAGTCGGCAGGAAGAAAAATGTTTACAGACAAATGTATAGAAAATTTTAAATAGTGGTTCCAGCGCTTGTAGCTGCATGTAACGCCCTGAAATTTTCAGTACAATCGTTAGGAGTGAAGCTTTAGTTTACAATTCATATTTTTTTCGGAACAGCCGTTTTACGGACATTATTCAACATTAGATTCTCATACAAACACTGTAAGTTCTCACGCGGTTGCCTACTCGTCAAGATGGCGTCGAAAACCGTGATAAGGCCTATTCGGACCCTTCCCCGAGAGAACACTAGAAACGAGGTTGGAGAACTCTCAAGAAACGAGGAAACTAGAAGGAGTTAACGTTCGCAAAGACTTCTGGGACTGTACCTGTAACTGGCGAGTCCCCGGTGACCATCTCAGAAAGGCAGAAACAATTGCGATACGTATTTTGTCCCCAGTTTCCTTCTTATTTGAAAAGTGGACAATAACATGGTTTCTTCATGATAAACGACAAAGCCATTAGAGATTTTACGCTCTGTTTCCTATCTTCTATTTCATGATATTGCTTTTTTTCCCCTTTCTACAGTGGTGGGATCGGGACAAAGCATTCTCAGATGACTTGGTCCAGCCCCTCGGGCAGTATTATCATTCAAGAAGATCCCTGGATTTCTCATTGGACAAGACTATCGCTGACTTTTGCTCGGACTCCAATTTTAATGTGCGTAATTTTAGCGACAGTGGACACACTGGAAACCCAGGTAACCAGTTTTAGCACTGTGATTATTTAAAAGATGAAAGATACGAAAACCAAATTTGTATATAGTTTCTATTTCGGCTTTTTATAGTGCAGGCAATAGAATTAATAATGCTACTTTTGGTCGTTCACAATGCCACCTATAACTCAGAATTGCCAAGGTATATGTTGTGGTTCAATTTTATCCTTGGTTCAAATTTTATTTCGCTTTGTTTTTCAGTATGGTGATATAATAATGAGTTTAAAACAAACGGAAATAAACTTTAAACCAAGGATAAAACTGAACCATAACATATATAATAGGCACTTGAATTGGGTAGATCAAGTAGCCTCCCACGTAGACGTTTTTAGGAGAGCTCGTTTTTCATCCCTCCCCACAAACGCCTGCTCAACCGAAAGCAACATTCCTTTCCCGTTGTTTTATTTGCGTGGTAAGTGACCAATCAACAGTTGTGTAATAAAGTGTTGACAAACTAAACGCGACTAAAACGTGACCCTAGAGCTACCGTTTTCCTTCTTTTCTTTTCTTCGCAAAGGTTATGCAGTGCATGGAGTATTCTAAAATTTGACTAAATCTTATTTTTGCCGTTCTGAATGTGACATTTATTAGAGGTCAGAACGTTTTCCCAGTGTTTCTTGCAGATCGAGTAATTATCAGATTACCTTGCGGTCAAGGTCAACTTTCCAGAATTTGGAAAGTACAATGTGATTGGCTAAGCATGGGAAAGGAATGTTGTCTTCGGTTGAACAGTCGTTTGAGGGGAGGAATGAAAAACGAGCTCCTCTAAAAACGCCTGCGTGGGAGGCTATGGATCAAGCACCAGCTCTCATTCAGGGCTGATTTACCGAAGGGTTACTGCCAAAACTTTAGATTAGAACCGGGCTGTTTATCATTTGCAGAAAAAATTCCGTTAAATCCGGTTCCAGTGGCAAATGTCCGGCTGCAACTGAACATCTGAACACTAAAGGTAGTCCTCTTTTTCCGGCTGGAAAGTTCCAAACGGAAATTCTTGTTGCTTTTGTTAAATCGCATCTTCGATACCAGTTTCAGGCCTTCTCAGCCGTTTTTCGGTAAAAGGAATATTTTTAAGTGTAAAAACGGTAAACGCGACTCCGGGACGAAATTACCAGTCCTGTCAGATTTTGCTTACCATTTGACCAAAGGCGTGAGCCGACCGCTTTGCCCATGTACAAGGTAAACAAACCGAAATTCCTGAATACTTTTAGAAAGGGCCAAAGGACGTCAGTTACAGTAAACGCGGATTGCGGGCAATCAAACTACTAAAGTATCAATCAACACTATTTTTTCATTTACAGCCAACTTTTATCCTGGATTTTTTGAACACTGCATTTCTGCACCAAGGAATTACTTTCGACTCTAGGGAAAAAGTTTACTATGGGAATCACTTAATCTTCCGGCACATTGCTTCGAAGTATCAGACTACGTAAGTGTCACGTAAATATTAGTCATTTATTACTAAATTTTTTAATTATTAAATAGATGAGTAAAATGAATTTTAAAAGTGTTTATGAACAGTACTGTCTTGTATCTCGAGAAAATTATTCCCTTTAGTGGTTTACTTTTACTTTTAAAAAGCGATGTTATTTTTTTCGAATATTCTTCTATCGAATCAATAACAGCGCCCAGTGTAAAGAAGAGAGAATCGGTAAATTATGATCAATTAAAAGCAACCTATCAGTCTGTCAATAATAGTCTAATAATCAGTGCTACCGGACAAAGGCGACAAAAACATATGAAGACGGTGATACGATGTTAAAATTGGCAGCCCAAAGCTAATGTTTGCCTGACCACAGTGACAAAGTTAGGGGTTACTCCAAATACTTGTACATACTTAGATAACAAGCAGTTATTGGTTTCGGCTTTCGTATTATGCAGATAGCTAAAACATGCTAAACTCGATCGATGTTAAGTTCCATTCTTCATTTGCATTCAGGATGGAATCGATGCGTCGTTGTATTTTTTAGGCAGTAGTTCTTTGCAAAACTTGTGTGGTTGCCGTCCCTTTTCCTGCCGATATCCTGTAATATTGATATCATTTTAGTGAATATCGCAAATGTCTCTTCCAAATTTGGCAACGCTAGCTTATCATGGAGAATACCGCAAGACGGAAGATTTGAGCCAATCAGAAACGAAGAAATATTTTTAATGAATTATTATGGAGGCTAGTAAGTGTTGTTAAGAAACAAAAGGCTATTGTTTGAGAAGGACCATTTTAAGAACATTTTAACTTGTCGACCCATTGTGGAGCCGTATCTAAAGTAGCTACAGCCCATTTTTCTTGCCTATATTTGCTTAATAGATCCCATGACATTATCAAGGACTACATTATGTGGCGAGTTATTTCCCAGTACGTTTGGTCAATGCCTGACGTTTTTGTTGAAGCTAAGCTTGAGTTTTACAAGGCTATACGCGGGAAGCAAAAAAACCTACATCAAAGATGGTCTTTCTGTATCGATGAAATGCTGACACCGATGGACATGACTCTGGGGAGGATGTATGTCGACGCACATTATGACGAAGCAACTAAAACAACGATAAAGTTGTAAACTAAATTAAGAAAACTAACGGCGACGCACAATCATAAGCACGACTCGAAGCTCGCATCTTCCAAATCAATCGTTATAAATATATTTTTGCCCGGAAGTAAGCACATTCGATTGACTGAAGTTCAATAAAAGTCGTTCTTTTTGTTTCAGGTACAGGAAATGACGACTCTTATTCGCGATGCCTTTATTAATAACCTCAATTCGGCGGATTGGATGGATTCTGCAACAAAAGAGGCCGCCAGGGAAAAGGTAAGGATGTCATTCATAGATTATCAAGACAAAGAGGTAAAAAGAGTTCAAAAAGCTAGTTCTTTTAATTTGACGGGTTTTCGGAGTAAGTCTCTTGCACAGTCTAATTTTTTATAATATTCCCTTTTTAATTTCCATTAAATCATGCGTCTTGGCGTGTTTATACCATCTTTTAAGTTTTCTTCTTACGGACGTCGATAATGAAAAAAATAGGAGGCCACATGTTTGTCCCCATAACAGTCAGTACTGTAAATTTGAGTACTCTATGACTGCTTAACGCTTGTTATTACAAGGGCTACAATAGTACTCGCGCTCTCATTGGCTGTTCTCTTGTAACTACCGGGCATTAATAGTTAGGGTCCAAGGTATATACAATCCGTGTTTAACTTAATAGTCGACATCTATGTTATGCTCAATTGACAGCTGTCAAAAGGGTATCCGCTGACCTGGCTGTATCGCGCGCTCAAGTGTACAACTCATTGCGGTGATTTTTTAAAGTTATTTGCTGACCAGTTGTTGGTTTTAGTTGATGGCAGGCTCAGGTCAATAATGAAAAGGCAATATAATAAATAACATATTAACCTCGTCCGTTCGTTCATAAAGCACTTAAATGTAATCATTGCAGGCCAATGCTATAAAAGAGGATGTGGGATACCCACCATACATCAAAAACGACACAAAACTTGACGAACATTACTCCATGGTAATAATAGTAATAATAATATTAATAAAAGTAGGTTGAGTTTGATCGTTCGGGTGAACGTAGTC